AGGTGGGCGTAACTGTGGAACTCTCTGTTTTCACCCCGTGGGCATGTATGGAGTAGGGCCTTGAGGCCATGTTTTTAAAGATAATTGCAACTTTGTCTCCAACATCCGCGTGGAGTTGTGGACCTGGCAAAAGCGAAAAGGAAGAGTGACATATATTTGTCAGACTGGAAGTTCCCATCAGTAATAAAAGCAAAGATCCAGTAGCTTTCTTAGCATTAAGGTTGGAGTCTGTTTTCCCTGTGGCTTCATGCTGTGGTCCTCTTGGATTTATGCCCCGTCCCAGAGGATTCGGGATGAAAACGCTGGTAACAGCTGCCTCCACAGTTGGAGACCGCAGGGCATCCGGCATCTGGAGGCTGAGGGGAGGTTTCGGCCTGAAGGTCTCCGGGTGGTGAGTCAGCCGGCCCGCCCTGGCCAGGCGTCACTCTGCAGCCCTTGCTCGCATCTCTCAGCACTGGGTCTTCCAGACCCTCCTGAGTGTGAATTCAGGGCAGGACTGCATTTGACAGGCGCGTGCTTCTCCCATTTCTACCTGTGTCCCCCTGCCTGGAGAACTTCTGTGACCCAGCAGCACAGGCACCCTCCCTAGCATCTCGCTCCAGGGCTGAGGATAACCAGGCCGCAGGGGACGCTGACCATGTAGGAACACAGAGGGTTTGAGAGTAGGGACCTTGATGACTTTCAAGAAAATTCCCAAGACCAGTGTTGGTCAAGCTCTTAGACTTCCTGTCTTAAAATGAAAAATTGAAGGCAACTTTTCCTCTGCCTTGTGCACAGTAACAGTTTTTTCTTTCCTTAGTTCCTTGTCTATGTGTACATTTCTTCTTGGAGTTAGTCATTTACATCTTAATTTTAAAAGTAAATAGCTATATATATAGTTTTAGAGGGGTGGGATAACAGGGAGAATTTGGTTAAGAATTTCATTAGAAAGGAATTTCTAGGAATTTCACCAAAACTATGGCATCAATTTGATAAACACCCAATCTATACTATTTCGTTAGTCTATGGGATGACACACTGTTTCTGACAGAAATAAGTAACATTTTATTATGCCATATTCTTTAGTAAATATAAGCTTCTCATTTTTACTGAATAACATGTTTTTTATTTTTTTTGAATAGCTTTGTTATATGAACTGAGAAAATCAAACCCATATACCTGGCCTGTCGCTGTGCATAGCAGCCCGTGGCTAACCACACCCGATGGGGGAGCCCCGAGGACGTACCCAGAACTCCCAGGTGCTCCTCCTCTGCCTTTCTCTCCACCTGGACTCTGAACGTGCTGTCAGTGAATTGCCGATACACAACCTTCTTGTACTTTGAGCCTATGTAAAATTCTCCCTTATCTAAAAATGCATTCGAGACACTTAAAAACACACACAGACACACACACAGAAAGCCAAGGTTAGTATTTGTCTTCATGAAAGTGGAAGTTGAGTTTTAAATTTTGAATAAAAATATAGTTTTTATTTAAGTCATTATGCTAGTTTTTAATATCACTCTTCTGTTCAGCAAGAGAGAATAAGACTTTAAAAATAGACAGGTGTGGTAGAAAGTGCGGCTGGCCAGGCGTGAGCCAGCTGAGTGCCGCCCTGACTCTGCCACACTTGGAAGGACCCCCAGCCGGCCACTGCTTGTCGGAGCCTCGGTCTCTTCTCCCCTAAAAGGGGGGATTGGATGAGGCCATCTCTAAGGTTTCTCAGTGGCTCTAGAATTTCATGGGTCCAGATTTCACCAGTGAAGGGTTCTCTGGTTACCGCAGTATTTCTGGTCTGTAAGAATTGCAATGGCCCTGACTTTCCGGCCACTTGCTTTACCTGAATTTTCCACTGACTCCTAATGGATCCTGGAGCCTTTTGACTATTTTACCCCAGTCACTGAAATAACTTTTACTCCTTTTCGCCACAAATCATACTCACCATCGCAGTCAAAACAACCAGCTAACCATTACTCAGCTACAGGTCACCAGTTGTGCACCGCAGATCTGAGCACACGCGCATCCCCACCTCTCCAGTCACATCCGCAAAGAGTTAGTGCTTGATGTGAGCTGACCGAGGGGAAAGGTCTAAAAGGACTAACTAGCAGGGTCGGGGACACTGCTCTAAATGCAGTTCTCAAGCTCCAATGAGCATCCTTTACTGACACTTATTCATAACACGTATTCATTACATTTCCGTAACGTGCACGTTATTGGTGGCTTTGAACCATGTTTTCCTGTAAGTTCCTAGGGGGCCAAGACTATATCTGCTGTACTGCCCTCCAGAATGGGAAATATTCTTCCGTACATAATAGTTTTAAGAATGTGAAATCACTGATTACTAGACTAATAAGGAAATCTTTGGAGGAAAGATAGGCAGCAAACAGTTGGTAAGGAAGATAATATTTTAGCTCTGAATTTACGCATTAATTTTGGTTTAAGTTTGAAAATCAGGGGCAAGATAAGGGTGCACGGATATGAGCAGGCAGCCCAACAGAAGAGAAAGTACCATGAGGGCTACCGAGAAAGTTGAGAGAAGCAGAAGTGAAGGAGGAAGGGTCCTGGGAGCGTTTTGTTATAGTTTCTATTGTTATTGTTTGCTGCAGCTGTTTGTTTTCCTGAGACTTAGCATAGTTCTTACTTCTCTGAAAGAGAAAAGAAAACACGGGGAGCCCGGGGCCGGAGAGTTACTTTTGTTCTTGGAGGTGGTGCAGCTCCTCCTCCCACCGCCTGCTGGGCGAGTAATCCCACTCCAGCTCCACCGCTCCGATGTAGTAGGTCCTCTCTCCCCGGTAGTAGGAGTTCAAACTCTCAGGCAGCTGCTTGCACTGGTTCACAGTGTATGTTTGCTTCATGCCGCCTGTGTAGTGATCGGTTGTGAGGCACTCGACATCAAAAGTCCCTGGAATGGTAAATAAGAAAGCATGTCACTCCTTTGCTCAGCGCCTTCTGTGCCTCCTTACCTCACTCAGAATCAACACCAGAGTCCTTAACACTGGCCCACACCTCGGATCACATCACATACCACTCCTCTGCTCCAGGCACATAGGCCCTTTTGCTGTTCTTAGAACAGGTTAAGTGTGTGCCTGCCTCAGGGCCTTTGCACTGGCTGTTTCCTCTGCCCAGAATACGTCTCCCCAAAATATCCACATGGCTCATGTCCTCACTTCATTCAGACTTCTCCTTAATTGTCACCTCCTCAGAGAATTTTTACCTCCCTTCCCTCGTCAGTCACCAGCCCCTTCCCCTGCCCTGTTTTTCCTCCTGTAACTATAACCACATGATATAAATTTGTTTAATATAGTTGCTTGTCTGCCTCCCTGCATTAGGATTTTGGCTCCATGAGGGCCGACACTTCATCTCTTTGTTCACCGTTGTATTTACATTTGTCTAATGAATAAAGGAAGAGCTGACACTCGACCTGTCTTACATTTTTGTGACAAATAACCAAATAAAGCTTGAAGCAAGTTGGCACATTTTTACTTTTTGGCTAAAATTCCTTCTTTTTTGCTTTAGTTTGTTTTACTCATTGAGAGCCAGGCCGGGAGTGTCTCTGAATTTGCATGGCCATCGTTCTAGGACAGGATAATCAAACACCCAACAAGTCAACGTTACATCGAGGCTACAGAGAGACAACAGAAGGTTCAGACGCGAGTCTTCACGGCAGTCATTCCCTTTCTAGTCTGATTTACCAGCTATCTTTAAAGGGACCATAACTTAAAAGGAGAACGTCCCGAGGGTTCTACAATGTGGAAATGGAAGCAACCAGAGTCCAGCCTTTCTTGTCCTTCCCTCCCCTTCCTCCAACAGACAGGAAGGGGACCTGTCTGGCGTATCCTTAGCTGGTGGTGGCCCAGACAGACTTGCTCTTCCCAGGGAAGGAAGGGCACTTGGGAGGCCTGGGGAAAGGATGAGCTTGTCACCCAACAGGATTTTAGACAGAAAGCACAGGAATCGATCTAGCAGGGTCTTGACTACGGAAATACACCTTCAGTGTCAGGCTGCATGGAGAGTGTGAGCGTTGTCTGAGGGAAGAGGTTTGCCGTGTCTCTCGTTTCTCCTCTTGACTGGTACGTGTTTCCTGAGAAGTAAATCCCGTGTATGTCGGCCTCATTTCCAGCGCTGAATAAGTACCACACGACCGAATCTCCTTGGCACATGTTGAGACCAGGCTGATTCCCGTACATGAATCCGTTCATGGCTGTGAAAGTTGGAACATAACATCTTGAAAGTGGATTATCTTGGGTCCTACTACATGACAACCTCCCAGATGTTTCAGAGCCAACTGTGTTTATTTAATTGTTAAAAGACCCATTCAGGCCCACCCTGCCCCTCCGTGTGTCAGGAGTGTCCCTGCCGCTCCTTGCTGTCCCCAGCATGTCCAGAGCAGCCCGGCTGGGAGCGGCAGAGCTGAAAGCTGGGTTGGTGCAGTGCTGCAGCCTGGGGGTCTCACGCTGCTTCCCGTCAGCCACTTCTCAGCTCCCTCAGAAGGCACGTGTGGACACCCACATGTAGAATTAATAAGAGCTTTTCCTGGGCGCTTTAGACGGGAGATGCGTGTGTCGCTCTAGCTGGGAAATTCTGATTCATCTTGAATCACAGGTAAGACTCTACACAGAAAGTTTTCTGTCACTGCTATTTCCAACAGATAATATCCTTGACTCCTCCAAAATGCAAAAAGGCAGGATCAAAAGGAATATTTTAAGGAGTGTGGGTAGTGCAACTCGTATCAATCCAACTAAAAAAGCAACATCAGTTTGTAACACAACTTCACATTTTTTTCTTCTGGCCACAATGGTTTTCATACGTTGTCCATTAGTGGTGTGGGCGTTTTGAACAATTAGCTCACTGTCTCTAAACCCTGACTGCGTCTAGAATGACACTGGGAGCTCAAAAATATATCTGATGCTAGGTTCCAATTAAATAAAACTCTCTGGAGGTTGTCCTGAGCATTTTAAAAATAGTTGGAATAGTTTTCCAGGGGATTCTGAAGGGTAGTCAAGGGTGGAAGTCATTGAAGTTCACTGACAGCAGAGATCAGATCTTTCTTCCTAATAAAGAGTGAAACGAGCCTGTCATTGTTAAGCCACAGATGAGAGAAGCATCCGACCCAGTAGTTCTCAGACTGAAGCATGTGTCAGAATGACCTGGAGGGTGTGTTAAATGGCAGTGGCTGGCTCCAAGCCAATGTTTCTGATCCAGCAGGTCAGGGTCTGGGCCCAAAATGTGCATTTCTAACAAGGCCCTGGGTGATTCTGAGGCTGCTCATCCAGGGACCACATTTTAAGGATCATGCATCTAATTGGCATATTTTGTATGTTTTATTATTCTGAATTAAGTGAAAGGAGGAGTAACTGATACATTAGATAATCAATGATATTACCCTCAGAGCACTATTGTATTTAATCATTTGTTGAAAGTTGATGGGCAAAGCTATTAGCATTTTGGTTTAATTAGAAGCATTACGAGTGCAGCACTGAAATGACCTGCTGTTGGTGGATGATGCAGTACTTACAGTGCATCTTATTAGATTCCTGAAAGTCCGCGTCTTCCTTGTCCACCTGGTCAGGTGCGGTTGTAAACATTTGAATATTATCATCCAGGAGTAAACTCTCGTTCTCATCAAAAACTGTGGGGAACAAATAGAACTCCTTGTCTACGTCTTTCTGGAAAGCAAACAAGAACAATGAGGTGAAGACAGAATAAATAAATACAGCAGAAAGACTTACATGCACACAATACTACTTGTGCACAAACATACTCAAGGAAGGATAAGAACATAAATTTCCATTTCTCTTTATGAACTAGGCTCACGAAATACTCCAGTTGACCACCAGAGTTGTCATCAGTATCTGTGTAGTGGATTTTCGGTTCAACACAATAATCTAAGCCTCTCTCTGCATTTAACAATTCTGACTCTCCTCTCTCTACCTTTCTGCAGCTCCGCCCATACCGAATGAACCCACCAAAAGCAATTGTTAAAATAGGGGGGAATGTGTGCCTGTGCATGAAATCAGGGAAAGAGCTGTCTACAGTCGTGAGAATTCAAAGAATGCCTGGAAGGCAGAGCAAGTGGATGCAGACAGAGGGAGGAGTCATCTTAACTAAAGAAACAGCCTGCCAAGTGAACCAGGACAGGCATTCACAGTCGCCAGCCGTTTGGGCAAACATTCTCACTCCTCCTCTCCCTGCCGATGGTGAAAAACAAGGAAGCAGAAATGCTATGTGGTCTGTGAGATGATTCAGGAATCCAGACGAAGGTAATCAGTCCAAGGAATCAACGCATATGAGCCGTTGAGAACAAGTTACTCTCTCAAAGAAGAGAACGCTTTAGAGGTTACCACATGTCTTTTTCCTGAGATCAATTTTTCAGATGAAAAACATGATTATCAAATTTTAAAAATCCAACTAAAACAGAGACCTGAAGGTTAGATCCTGCAGAAAATGGAATCAATGATGGAGATGATCTTAAGAAAGCTCCCATAAGTCAGAAGAAAAGATTCAAGATTAAAAAACTGTTTGTAGAGGGCTGGCCCAGTGGCATAGTGGTTACGTTTGCATGCTCCACTTCAGCAGCCCAGGGTTTGTGGGTTTGGATACTGGGTGTAGACCTACACACTGCTTGTCAAGCCGTACTGTGGCAGCATCTCACGTGAAAAATAGAGGAAGATTGGCACAGAAGTTAGCTCAGGGACAATCTTCCTCACTAAAGCAAAACAAAACAAAACAAAAACACACAAAAAGTAGACACATAATAAGGATTTTAGAGAAGTTATAAAAGAGGAAGACATAGTGATAATCAATAATAGTGGCAATGTTCACCACCATAAAGGGAAAAGACTAGAATATTCAGATTCGAAAGCTTCACTGAAAACCAAGCAAAATTAGTAATAGAGACCTATATCTAAAAATGTTCTGGAAAAAACTGGAATTTGAGAGAGACAAATTTCTGCCATAATCCATTTTAAAACCACAAATTGGACTTGTCTAGTACAATAACTGTCAGAGGAAGATGGAGTAGCCTTAACGGTTTTGAGGGGAAAAGATTATGCTATAAAAATTCTATTCCAGGCAAAGAACAACAAAAAAGACATGTTCAGATGTGTAAGCATTCCAGCAAAGGACTGCTACAATCACTTATATGCTGATCGACAGATAAAACTTCAGTGAAAAGTTTACAGGTCACATTTTCTGATCATAATGCAACAAAACTAAAAATTACTAATAAAAGGACAAAAATTTAGTGAAATTAAAAAGATCATATTTGATCCAGATAACTTTTAGATCAAAGAGGAAACAAATGAATTACTAAGTATTTAGTAAGTAATGTCCACCAGAACACTACAAGTCATAGTATGGAATGTAACTAAACTTATAAACTGAGAGTCTGAAATGGGTTTTATTTTAAGCAAAACCAAATAAAAATTAATGTTGTAAATATCTGAAAATTTTAGAAAAATAAAATGAAGGAAGGAGAAAGAATTAAAAAGGACAAAAATGAAGTGTTTAATAAATTAGAATACAAACTAAGAAGGCTAAACCTAAAAATGTATTCTTTGAAAAGATCAATGAAATACACAAACCTCTAGCAAATCTAATTAAGAAACTGAGCGAGGGGCCAGCCCCCTGGTCGAGTAGTTAAGTTTGTGCGCTCCGCTTTGGTGGCCAGTTCGGATCCTGGGCGCAGACATGGCACCACTCATCAGACCATGCTGAAGCGGCATTCCACATGCCACAACTAGAAGGACCCACAACTAAAAATATACAACTATGTACTGGGAGTCTTGGGGGAGAAGAAGAAGGAAAAAAAAAAAAGATTGGCAACAGATGTTAGCTCAGGTGCCAGTCTTTAAAAGAAAATTGAGTGAGAACCCAAATATATCATATTAAGAATGAGAAAGGAAATAACCAGATATATGAGAGAGAAAAAAAATTAAGGCCATTATGTACAATAAATGTGATCAGTTGACTAAGAAGGAGTCACCAGAATAGACCAATATCCATGGGTGAAATAAAACTAATGATTAAAACATAAACAACAAAACTGACCACTTCTTTTTAAAAGCCACGCAGTCAAAATAACTTTATAGGCAAGTTCTTTCAAATCTCTAAGGAGCAGATGATTCCTATCTATTTAAACTGTTCCAAAGTATTAAAAACTTGTAAATCTTCCCAATTCATTTAATGAAGATAGTATAACCATAATATAATACCTGAAAAACACACAAAATCTAAACGAATATCGCTTATAGCTTAGATGAGAAATTCTAAATAAAACACTATCAAATTCAACACAGAAATATATTGAAAAAACCCCACCATGCTCAAGTAATGTTTTTTCCCCAGAAGTGCAAGGATCATTCAATATTAGGAAATCCTTAATGTGGTTTAGGATAATAAAGTCACGCTTATAGGTCAAAGGAGAAAAGCTATATAATAATTTCAATGAAATCTAAAAAGAAATTTTTATAAAATTTGACATTCTGGCACTAGCTGATGCCTTTGTTTTCCCCCACGTCTTTGAAGGCTCCTTCCTTGAAATTTAGATCTCACCTCAAGTATTACCTCCGCCTTACCTAAACTAGGGTCTCTCTTCACTCTCACGTTACCCTGTTTTGTTTGTTTAAACCACTTGTCACTTTCTGAAGTTACTTATTTTCATTTATTGTGTTCGCTCAGCTCTTCTCCTTCCCTCCCCCGTGCCCCCTGCCCCTTCGTCACCCTACGCTCTAGACTGTAACCCCGTTAGAGCAGAGAGCTGACCTGTCCTATTTATCGACGAATTTTGTGCCTAGCACACGATGCTTTTTAAGCAGCTCAAGTAATTTGTTTTTCAAATGGAAAAACGTTCTCAGTAAACTAGAAATAGAATAAAAAATACCGACTAGTAGCCAATGTCTCACTTAGTGGTAAAATAATAGAGATGTTCTCATTAAGATCAGACACAAAACAAGGCACTATTTGACACTATTCTGAACATTCTTCCCAATCTGAAGCCACGTGGCTATAAGTGGAAAAGCCAGGATGAGGACTTTTAATGCCTTCTGTAGAACTTCCTGTGTTGTGATTCCTTCATTTGCAAAATAGAGACAATGAAATATGTGGAGGATAAAACACATTTTAAATCTCAACTCACTGAATATCAGTTCCTCCTTTGCAAAAATGGGGAAAACCATACTTAGCCTTTTGGGTCGCTGTGGAGATGAAGTGAAGTAATATGTGTGAGAGTGCCCGGAGGGAGTTCAGTAAACATTGGTCTCCTTTCACTTCTTCCCAAGGTGAGCACAAGATCAAAGAATGGGAACCCAAAGGCAGAAGACCATTTTTTCTCAGTTATGTATTTAAAATTTTTAATTGATGGCCTTACCACTTACAATAGCCAAATAAAAATAAAGTATCTAGGCATAAACTTGACAAAAAATATCCCAAACCTATATAAGGGAGACTATAAAATACTCTTGAAAAACACAGAAGTAGACTTGAACAAAGGAAAGATATATGTTATTGTGTAGGGAGACTCAACTTTATACTGTTGTTTGTTCTTCCTAAGTTAATTTGTATATTTGAGCAATCCCAATAAAACACTAACAGGCTTTTTTTCTGGAGCCAGATAAGTTTTTTATAAGGTTCATTAGAAAGAATAAGGAAGCAAAAATAGCCATTAAAATGATTTAAAAAAGTAAAATGAGGTATGGCTACTAGTCATTAAAACATATTATAAAGGTTCTATAATTAAAATAGAATGGTATTGGTGCCTGAACAGAGACCAATGGAATATGATAGAAAATCAAGAAATAGACCCAATTGTGTATGAAAATTTTAGCATAGGATAAAGGCAGCATTTAAATCAATGGGTAAAATTTTGACTTTTTAATAAATGGTGTTGAGTTAAGTAGACAGCCATATAGAAAAAGATAAATGTGATCCATTCCTCAACTGTACACCAGGAACAGAGGTATACATGGAACTGTACGTGGAACAGAGATGTAAGTGTGAAAAATAAAACCATCCAAGTACTAGAAGGCAGTATGGGTGAATTCCTTTATAACCTGGCATTGGGAAAACTGTCTTAACTACGACTCAAAATTTATAAACAATAAAGAAAAGATAACAGAAATCAAAATTTTACCTGGCAAGCAACAACATCTATAAGCAAAGTATAAAGGCAAATTACAAACTAGGAAGAAAAATTTACAACTATTACCTAAGACAAAGGATTTCTACCTCTAATACATAAAGAGCTTCTTAATCGGTGAAGAAAAATAACCTTATAGAAAAATGGGCTACAGAATGAACATTTCACATAAAAGAAGTGAAAATGGTTATTAACCACTTGAAAAGTGGCTCAACTATTAATAGTAAGAGAAATACAAATCAAAATTACAGAGATACTGTTTGTGTCCTATCAGATTGGTAAAAAAAATCTCCAAATTTAACAATATACTTTGTACTGAGGCTGTGGAAAAACAGATAATCTCACATATACTTGGTGGGAATACAAAACAGCACAATTCCTGTGCAAAGGAATTTGGAAATATCTAGCAAAATTACATACGTATTTATCCTTTTCCCAGTCACACCACTACTAGGAATGTATCCCAAAGGTATGTGGCAAAAATACAGAGACATATGAACAAGGCTACCTATTGTATTTTGTTTGTAAAAG